GAATCTGTCTGGAAGGTTGGGTCTGAGTTTGACTGTACTGACTCTTAACAGGTAAGATCCACATTTGTAAAAAGACAGACAGAAAAAAAAAATTGTAACATTAAGATTAGTGGCAGAACTGACAATAGTAGAAAACAGCTTAAAAGTACATACCAGTTTAAAATATGAGACTTATGATTTTGTACTCTGAAATGAGATGAAATGAATAATTATTGTACATAGAGAGACTGAACAGGAATTAGGCAAACTGCATGCTTTTGATGGGCCCTATCAAAAAGCATGACACTATGCAAAACATTTGTAATCACAGTTAAGGAGAGGATTTTAGTGAACACCGAGGTGGGGGAGAGGAAAGGCAGGATATACATAAGAATGAGAAAGCTTGGTTGCGTGATCTGGCTCTCAGTGAATCTAGTGATAAAGTTACCTGACCCCAATGAACATGGAGGTGGACACGTGTTGTGGCTTGAATGGAAAGACCGTGGGAATTTTAAAAGCCGGGGCTGCCTGGTTGTTGAATCGTGAAAACCCACATAAACAGACAATTTAAGGCATATTTAGGCTGGTACGACTTGCTTTCCCAGGTCAAGACCGTGAAAATCCCTCAAAAACCGTGGCATCTCGAGCCTATGGGGAACGGCTCCCCGTTTAGGTGAGATGAAAATAATCGACCACCCAGGACACGTGGGTTTGTGTCCTCAATCCACGTGTGGGGTGGTATAGGCCGAACCGGATCAGCCTTTTCGTCTGTGAGAAAGATGAGAAAGAAGAAAAGAATGAAATAAGAGAGGAAGACGACTGGAGGCCCCGGGCCACCAGGTGAGGGAATGCACGGGCTTAACAGGATGCAAGCCGTAATGGACACCAGTGACGGGGTGGAGAAGTACCCCTCCCTGAGCCCAGAAACACCGGGAGGACCATCAATCTCGGGTTAAAAAGGCTCAGATAAGCTGGCTGGAGTGAGGAAACTTACAATTAGAAGCCGGTGTTGTTTGTAGGAAGGAGTCCAGGCAGTTGGCGGTGTTGAGGAAGGCCCTCAGTCCGATTCAATCCCGGAAGTTGGTGGTCAGAGTCCCGGACGAAAGGTAAAGCTGGAACCCTGGCCCTTGGCGGGTGAATCTCTCGAGTCCCGGCACCAAATATTGTTCTTTTTAAAAATAATATGATGTTGGGATGTCCCAGGCAGCTTGCAGCCAGGCAGAGGCCGCCGCCAGAGCAGAGCAGGGTCCCTGGGTGAGCAGCAGAGTCAGGCGGCTGAATGCGGTGGACGGCAGAGTAAATGGACATAAGGCTATACATAAAGCTAAACATTTATTACTAAAAAAGGGGAGACATAGACAAACATAGAGAGAGAGACAGAAGACACGTGTGCACATGGCAAGAGACGGACAGGAAAGGGGAGCCAAGATGGCGACGAGGTCAGAAGTGGCTGGGGTGGGCGTGGTTAGTTCTTAAAGTGACAGCAGAAAAATAACACCCAGGGACTCACTTCCTCCAACAAGACTGTACCTACTATTTCTTCCTAAATTGTTCATCAACTGAGGACTGAGTATAAAAATATATGATCCTGTGGGGGGGCATTCTCATTCAATCCATCACTATGCCTATGATCCACACTGAGTTAACTTTTATAAAAGTAGTAAGGTTTGTATGTTAGTTTCTTGTCATTGCTGTTGTTTGCTTGTGGATGTCAAGCTGGAACCACTGATTGAAAAGAAGAAAACATATTTTCCACTTCTTTCCTAAAGCATAACGATATTCTGTCTTGTTACTCTTTTCTTGTTTTTCCCTGGGTTGCATATCAGATTGTATGCTAGTACACTATCAATTAATAGTCGAGTTCAGAAGGACTCTAAGATTAGAGATAAAGGGGAATGGGTGCTGGTGTCTTCAGGGAAACACCACATTACTAGGCAGTGTGTGTTCAGGACTCGGTTTTTTCCTATGTCAGTTTGTTGTTTTCTTCCTGTCAGGATCTGCTTCCCTAAGCTCCCTATAGACTTAAGCCGCTACTCATAATTGAAAATTTGAATTAATATTTATTATCAGTTATTTTTATAAGCAGTGTATTAGAGAGATTTAACTATTAACTCTGCCCTGGAAAGTCTAAAGTTAGGGCAGTGATTTCAGAAGTCTCTAAATAGTGTATCTGTACCAAAGTTCAGTTTTAAGCCTGGCATGGTATGAGAGACATAAAATCCTAGAACTCAAGAGGGGACAGGGGGAATGATTCTAAATTCAATGGATTATGTGGTAAAACACTGTCACAAAAAGAAGAAAAAAACAAGTGTCCTTTTAAACCTATTTCAAAAAAAAGCAAAACTAATCTGGTTCTTCAAAGTCTTCACTAAGTGAAAGGCAACACAACATCTTATTAAATTGTTTTATTTTCTCATTCTGTCTGTGTAAAAACCTATGATATTACATCCTCAGAAATGCCATCACTAGGCAAAAATTAATACAACAATTACTGTTGAATGTATTTATATATGAGAATATGTGTGCATATGGTGTATGCATGTCTGAGTCCAGGCATGCAAAGATGCATGTGTAAGCCCTGTGGATGTATGAGCCCAAGAATGTGAGCATTAATCCTGAAGTTTAGAGGAAAAAGACCACTTACCCTAGTCATCGTGGAAAAATTAATTAAGGCAAGCAATTAATTAAAGAAAGTTTTTTCTTTATTCGTGGCTGTCTCTGCCTAAAAGTAAGGTTCAACAAATAAACCTTGAACATGAGGAAGGCAAGGTTTGTTATGCAATAATCTTTTTTGTGTATTATATTGATTTGTTTCTGTCAAGGTACCTTCTGATTGGTTTAATAAAAAGCTAAAAGACCAATAGCTAGTCAGGAGAGGATAGGCGGGACTTCCCTGGAGAGAGAGAAACTCAGGGGAAGTATCTGAGAGGTGGGAGATTCACCAGCCAGACATGGAGAAAGTGAAACTGTACTGAAGAGAGGTAATGATCCACATAGCAGAACATACATTAATATAAACTGGTTAATTTAACTTTTTAAGAGTTAGTTGGGAACAAACTTAAGCTTAAGCCATGATTTCATAATAAGAAGTCTCCATGTAATTATTTGAGAGCTGGTGATCCAAAGAAAGCCTGACTATAATATACCTAGGGGTACAGGTTTCCAAATGGGGTATTTGATGGGCAAAACAGACAGGATTACAGAAGCAGGATGTAATCATAACAAGTTAATCATAATGACCTCCTAAAAAAAGGCATGAATGTTGTCTTTGAGAAACAGAGATTTAATCACAAACAGGAATAAATCTAATTTGTCTTTTCTATATGATGGCTTTCACGTCCATGATGGTGGGTTCATCAATGTGGATATGTGTATACATGTTCATCATGTGTATATGTGAAGAAGGATTTGCTCATGCACACATGCAGAGAAGCCGGAGATCAGCACTGGGTATGTTTCTCTGCTGTTTCTGTGGGAGAGGGTCTCTAGTGTGGCCGGATAGTGAGTCCTGGGGACTCACCTACTGCCATTCTCCACCCAGTACTATGCAGAGATGTACAGCCATACTTGGTTTTTGTGTGGATGCTGGAGATCTGTACTCCTATTTTCATACACATACAACAAGCTCTTTACCTGCTGGACCATCTCCACCATCCTCGAGTAGCTCTTTTAGACTGAGAATAATTCAGATTATGAACTTTTACCTTTATTCCATATTCTTCTAATAAACCTGGAGAGTAACTCCTACACTCACTAACCATCAGTGGTCTCACAAGCACAGGTAATAAATTCTGTCTCTATCCTGGAACTCTCTGAGGATTATGAAAGTAAAAGGTAATATACATGCCATTTGTGTGTGTGTGTGTGTGTGTGTGTGTGTGTGTATGCATGCACACTAGTGTGTGTATGTTCCCTCCTGTATATTTTTCTACATTTACCTCCATGCTATCTGTCCTGGAACCATTCAAACAATTTGGAGACAGAAAAGAAAGTAGAACAGTTTTTGTCTGTCACCAACTCCTCAAACTTTCAGAGAATTTAGGGGACTTGGAAGAAGCAGGAAAAGAATGGGGTGTAATTTAAAGCAGTGCTTTGAAATAACATAAAGGGACAAATGTTCTTTGAGAGTACAAGGAAACTTCCCAAGAATGAAGGAGAGGACAGGGAGTGATTAAGTGATTAAGGATGCTCGGAACAAAGGCCATCTACATGTCTTGCAGTAGTTTCTGAAAAACTAGCAAGTCTCACAGTAGGAAGGCACCGAGCACCTTCGGCAAGGGGACCTCAGGCAGGCTCCCAGTAGATTTCTCCATCCAAAGGAGATGGAAGAGGAGCAAAGACTGCCAAAGCTGAAGGTGTGGTGGTGCCAAGGTTACAGGATAACTTGGAAATCCTTTTGGATAGTGGCAGATGTCATGCCATGTCATGTGACCCTAGAACGAGAGCCCAACTCTGGGCTGAACAGGGAAAGGCTCTAGGAAGATTTTCACCATAGTCCAGTGGGAGGGAGGCTAGAAATTGACATTGAGTTGCTCTACAAGAGAATGAAGACTCAGAAGCTAGCTGGGCATAGTGGAATTCAACTGAAATATAGCATTTTGGAGGCACAAACAAAGGAATTGCGAGTTCAGGGTCAGGCTGGGCTACATAGTGAGTTCCAGGCTAGTCTGGGCTAAATAAGAAGACAAGATTATGTCAAAAATAAAAGAACAAATAAAAAAAAAGCAAACTAGGAGCTATTGATCTTAGTAATTGAGGCCTTATCAGTGACACTCAAGTGGCAGGGGCAGCTACTGGTTGTTACCAGGTGAAAAGAGTTAGGAAAAGAAAGACCTTTAAGCTTCTTCCTACTTAAACAGGTTTTTCTTCATCGGTTATATCCAATTTAAGACTTTTGCCACATTTATACTGGCATCTGACTCAAACATGCTATAATTACCTCGTCGACTCAAATATCTACATCTTCCTCCTGATCCACTCATTCCATCAACTTTTATTCCCTTCCTTTCCT